AAAAAAAAAAAACTCCGGGGCGGATTTATCATGTCAATTACGAATACATGTGAATCTAATAATTTTTTATTTCAATTATATATATATATATATAATTCTTACTTATTTTTAAATATTTAAGTGTAAATTTAATTATTATTGTTATATTAACTTGAGTTCTTACAGGAAATCCATAAATTTAAATTCTAGATCTGTCTTTCGCCCATGCTCGTCACTCCCCGATACCCCTTAGTATTGTTATGTTAACTTGAGTTCTTACAAGAAACCCATAAATTTAAATTCTGGATCTACCTACTATAAATTTAAATTCTAAATTCACCTCTACCCAATTCTCCCTACCCCTCTACCCTTTACCTCTACTTCACTCGCACACTCTTTCTACATATATCCAAACTTACACGTGCCCCACACCCTCTCCTTTCCGCTCTCTTTCTATTTTGAATATATACAACAAAATAATGAGCTGTAGGGAGATTCCGTGTGTGGGATTCAAGCTGTAAATTAAAGGACCCCACCCACCCTACTCCTCACCCCACCCCATCAATTTTTTTTTCTTCCATTTTATCTATATATACACACCCTTTGCACTTGTTTTTTTTCATTCATTAAACCATCAAAGTTTCAAACTAGCAACCTAGCACCAAACTACATTTGAAGTACTTGTTTCTAGTACCTTTTGTCTGTTGAAACTTAAAGGAAAAACATGGAGTTTGTTTCTATGTTTTGCTTATCTGCTATTGTTTCTTTCTCTCTTCTTCTTATCCATTCAATCTTCAAGTTCTTGGCTTTTGCTGCCAAGAAATTGCCTCTTCCTCCTGGCACTTTGGGTTGGCCTTATATTGGAGAAACTTTTCAACTTTACTCTCAAAATCCCAATGTTTTCTTTGCCTCAAAAGTCAAAAAGTTAGTAAACAAATCACTCACTTTCTTTAGTTTTCTCTTGATTTTCTTGATCTCAAGTTGCTAATGAAAAATGGCTTGTGTTTGTTTTTTTCTTTTTTTTCTTTTTTTATAGGTATGGTTCAATATTCAAGACTCACATATTGGGTTGTAATTGTGTGATGATATCAAGTCCTGAAGCAGCTAAACAAGTTTTAGTCACAAGAGCTAACTTATTTAAGCCTACATTTCCAGCTAGTAAAGAAAGAATGTTGGGAAAACAAGCAATTTTCTTTCATCAAGGTGATTACCATGCTAAGTTGAGGAAATTAGTCCTTCGTGCTTTCACGCCCGAATCGATCAGAAACATTGTCCCAGATATCGAATCCATCGTCGAAAGTACGCTCGAATCGTTCGAAGGAAGATTGATTAACACTTATCAAGAAATGAAGACAGTATGTTCTCAAATTTCCTAGTACTAAAACTTAGCAAAAAAACAGGGGAAAACAGAGGAAAACAGAGTCCCCTGTTTTTTTGCTCTGTTATTGAATAATGCTGCATTTTGGATAGTTTACTAAACTTGTTTTCTACATTTTTGGTCATTTTGCAGTATACATTCAATGTTGCATTGATTTCAATATTTGGAAAAGATGAAATCCTATACAGAGAAGATCTAAAGAGGTGTTATTACATTCTAGAAAAAGGGTATAATTCAATGCCAATCAATCTTCCTGGTACATTATTCAATAAAGCAATGAAAGCAAGGAAAGAATTAGCAAAAATTGTGGCAAAAATCATCTCAACTAGAAGGGAAATGAAGATCAATCATACCGATTTACTTGGTTCTTTTATGGGAGATAAAGGACTCACTGACGAACAAATTGCAGATAATATCATTGGTGTGATTTTCGCAGCTAGAGACACTACTGCTAGTGTTCTTACATGGATCCTTAAATATCTTGGAGAAAACCCTAGTGTCCTACATGCTGTCACAGTAAGATCCATACCCTAAGAAAAATCAAGAAAATTTCTACTTTTTTTTTCCAAGTATGGTTTCATTATAGGAAGCAGGAATATTAATTTTTTTTTTAAATTTTTTTTCCAGGAAGAACAAGAGACTATAATGAGAAATAAAGAAGAGAATGGTGAAGAAAAAGTTCTAAATTGGGCAGATACTAAAAATATGCCTTTAACTACAAGAGTAATTCAAGAAACACTCAGAGTTGCTTCTATCTTATCTTTTACTTTTAGAGAAGCTGTTGAAGATGTTGAATTTGAAGGTAAATTTTGACCCTTTTGATTTGTTCAAGTCAAAACTATCATTTTCCAATTTTAGATATTTTTTAAAAAAAATACTCTTTTCTTGTTATATTTGTTAATTTTTTTTTTGATAATTTCAGGATATTTAATACCTAAAGGATGGAAAGTACTACCACTCTTTAGAAACATTCACCACAGCCCAGACAATTTTCCTGAGCCAGAGAAATTTGATCCTTCAAGATTTGAGGTAAATATCAGAGAAAATTATAATTTTTAATTTTAAGTCTTTTTTCTTCTTATTTTCCCATAAAAATCCTATTATCTGAGACAAATCATTTTATGTGACAGGTGTCACCAAAGCCCAATACTTTCATGCCATTTGGCAATGGGGTCCACTCATGTCCAGGGAATGAATTAGCCAAGATGGAGATTTTGGTTCTTGTACATCATCTGACCACAAAGTACAGGTCAGTAACAGATCTTACAAAAACAAAAAAAGAAATAATTCTAACTGAATTCTCATCATTTATTTCCTAAAAATAGTATGCCAAATATATTTTCCTAAACTTTTTTTTCTTAATTTCTGACAGGTGGTCTATGATGGGCCCACAAAATGGAATTCAGTATGGGCCATTTGCTCTTCCCCAAAATGGTCTGCCCATTAAGCTATATCCCAAGAATTCATCACCATACGTCTAATAAGGAGTGAGATAAAAACTTCATTCCCAAAAAAAAAAATTGGAACAAGAAGAAAAAGGAGGAGAAGATAAAATGAAGATGAAGAAACCACAAATGGGGTTTCCCTCAAGGAATATGAAAATAAAAATATTAAACAAAAATAAGTTCAGGATCAGGGGCGGAGGTAGAGTTTCGACTACGCGTTGGACCGAATTCAAAAATTTTGGTCTGAACTTTATATTTATCTTAAGAAAAAGATATTCAAGGCCTCACTGATGTCGGTATTGCATGAGCTTGACCATTCCAAAGGATACGGCCAAGTTCAAGACGAACACAATCTTGATATGTTCAGGGACCTAAAATTGTAAATACAGAGTAGCTTCACAGAAAGTCAAAACACAAGAGGGTCTGATTCATTTTCCTTGAAGAAAAGGAGAAACTTAGGCCTTAGGGAGAAGGTAATTAATTAGTGTACCATAGTAAGAGGTTTTTTTAAAAAATATTTCTTTAAATATTTATTTGGGTTAATTTTTATTGAATTCTGACATGTAAAAAAGTCCGCAAGGCAATTAATGAAAGTCTGATTAAGACAGCACATAGTTCTGTCAATTTCTCAAGATTATTGTTGTTTATTTGTTATTGCTCCAATATTCATTCAGTTGATTGATACATATTCATCCTCATCCTTTCGATGTAGCTACCGTCCCTTCTTCCTCACAAGATATAAATAATAAAAAAACATATAATAATATAAGTAAAAGAAGTGCACGCGTAGTATTTAATGGGCATTAAAATTTCGAAAAATGTGAGGAAAAAAATTCAATGTTAAAAAATGATATTTGAAATTAAAGTTATATTTGGACATGAATACAAAATAGGAGTTGTTTTTGAATCTTTACGGGTGGTCTGAAATGAAAATTGTAAAAACATGCCTTTTAGAGTTTTTCGAATTCCGGAAAAAGTAAAAAAAAAATTTGCCATACAGGCCCTTAGTGTATATACTTATTTTCAAAATTATAAATTTCATATTTTAAACATGCTTACTTATAAATATTCTATTGATGACTTGATACAACAAGAAGAAGAACTCAGTGAATTTTCACAAATAGCATCCAATGAGGTTAAGATGTACACAACTTTACCTCTACCTTAGAAGGGCAGAAAAACTGCTTCCGATAAACTCTCGGCTAAATAAAAAATTAAAAAGTAACGACGACAACAGATAATAATAACAACAAGATAAAACAAGAAGACCAAAAAGCAAGCAAACACCAAGTAGTGGTAACAATCTAAGAATAAAGAGATACCATGCTAACCCCAATGCTATTGAGCTGAGCATACATACGAAGAACGCTCGACAACCTAATAACCTACTACCCTAATTTTTGATCGTCACATCCTTCTATCAATGGTCATGTCCTCAATAAGCTACAGTTACGACATGTCCGATCCCGCCTAATTAGTTCCCCACGACTTCTTTGGTTTACCTCTACCCATCCTCATATCTCACACCCATCAAGGTTAACCTCTCACATCAGGGCTTCTGTGCTTCTCCTCTTAACATGCCCAAACCATTTCAACCTTGCCTCCCGCATCTTATCCTCCATGAGGGCCACATACCTTGACCCGAATAACTTCATTCCTAATCCTATCTAACCTGGTATGCCCACACATCCATTTCAACGTGCTCATCTCAACTTCTGGACATGAGAATTCTTGGCCGACTAACACTCTGCCCTGAATCCTATTTATAAGTTGATAATATAAAAAATTCTGACGATACATGTAACTTAAAACTCTTTCTCGAATTATCAAATACCGAGCAGTATGGCCTGTATGTCTGGTGTACTTTTTCGTTTTGTTCTCTGTTGCAGCTATTGCTGCTGTGTCATATTCAAATGAGAATTCTTGGCCTTCAACATTTGGATGCTTGACTACTGCTTCGTTTGTAGTGAATGAATTTCTCTTTAGTAAAATTACTATATAATCTTTTTAATATAATTCACATAGTACCAAAATCATTCAGAAAAGAACACAGAAACTTTAAACTACATGTCTAAATTAAGGTGCTGAATTATGGGAAGTCTACGGGATTTTGAAAATTAATTAGAAGAATTAATCTAAATAACCGTCTACGTCCAACTACTTAAATTAAAAATAGCTCATGCATAATCAGTATAGAATTTATGTAATCTTAAGTTAATAAACCATACTTTTTTACATCCCTTCCTTGATGCCAAGCGGCAGTTATCTCATAGTAACACTCAGCTGCCCAAAATCCTCTAGACTCTCTATAAAGCTGCAGTAAACCGTGTCATCTATATGATACTATAAAGGGCAGTCCGGTGCACTAAGTACTCGCTATGCGTGAGTCCGGGGAATGATGATATTACGTTGAGCGTCCTATCTCATCAATATATACATATATGTGAACTAGTTCACTCGTAAAATATGTCATACTAATCGGCAAGAAGTGAACTGGCTTGATTAGCCGATCAATAATGATTTCATGTGACCTGCAAGGGTGGCCGAGTTGGTTGAGCAGCAGATCCTCCATATAGGAGGTCGTAGGTTCCAAACCTTCTAAATGCTTTCTAAGTCAAGCTCGTCACATGGAGCTTGCATAGCGCGGTTTAATTACCTTTTCAGTGTAGTTTGCGAGCTATTGTACTATATTAGTTTTACCCAGAGCGTACCCAAAGGGTAATGGCTGCGAATTCCCTAATTTAACAATAAAAAAAATGATGTCAATGTTGCCAACTGTTACCGAAAGAATTCTCTGTTCGGTGTTAGTGTCTTACTCATGTTTCATGAAACTTAGGCAGTTCTAATTAAGTTACGTGCACTAGTTCAGTACTATACTTTGACTGCAGTTTGCCGAGTGCAGACTATTCTTATGCCAACAGAAGAAGCATCTCTTTCTCATTTATGAAAACGATATTCTTTGTTTGGTTAATTATGATATAGACGACACCACAACATGATTGTAGCCTTTTCAACAAGTAAATAGTGCATATGCATGACAGTTGAACAACCTTATGTCTAATTAAGAGGCAATAATATCTCCAATATCACAAGTCTATTATTGACTTGACTTTTATCATATCGGGAAACTTTGGAGCTAACAATAAATTTGTCTTCGTGTGATATATAGGTCATGGATTTGAGTCGTGAAAAAAGTCACTAATGCTTGCATTAATTAGATACGTTGTCTATATCACACCCCTAGGAGTGCGGCCTTTTCTCAGACCCTGCGTAAATACAAAATACTTTGTGCACACCGGGCTGTCCTTTTCTTTTTTCATATTGTCGGGTACAAACTTGATGAATCATGTTCGGTCTATATAAGTTATGTCATACTTTTATGTGACTTTTTTCAACAAATTATTAACTTGACTTTTACCATATAGTTGAAGGGGAGCTTTGCAACAATAATTAAATTGTCTTCGTGAGATCTATATGTTGCAGGTTTGAGCTATAAAAGCATCCACTAATACATGCATTAGGGTACGCCGTCTATACCACACCCCTATAAGTGCGACCTTAATTTTCTGGACCCTATATAAATGTGGGATACGTTGTGCATACTGGACTACCCTTTTCTTTTATCATATTGTCGGGTACAAACTTGATGAATCATGTTCAGTATATATATATATATATATATATATATATTGTTATGTCATAATCTTATTTGACTTTTTCAACAAATTATTAAAGTGCACCTATGCATCATATGAGTAGTCTAACGTCTAAGAGATTACAATTTGAACTGTAATGTTACGATTGTGAATCGCCATGGCATCTTTTCCCCAATTGACTTTGCTACACTCGTGTTAATACTATTGGTCAATGAAATGGACTAAGTATCGTGAGGTAAAAAATATGAGGTGATTTTTTCAAACCAATCAAATTTTTGGTGGATATAGNTATATATATATATATATATAAAATTAATTGAGGTGTGCGCAAGCTGATCTGACATTACGATTTAAAAAAAAATGTACTAAGACACATGTCATCTATCATGGGTGGTCCAATGCTAATACTTTTTCATTTGACTTTGATGAATTCAATTGCTTAACAAAAGTAGCTGACTTTAATTGGGACCTTTAATTTTTATGAATTTGGGAACACTTATCTCTTGTTCCTGCTTTCATGCCGCTCTTTAATTTCTAGTTTTAATTTTAAAAGTATAAATTGTAGTTGGGAATGTAAGCTGTAAACTGATATTAATGACTAATTTTTCTTATCTTCCTCTTTTTCTTCCCTTATTATCACGTGAAAATCTATCATATTTGAATTTTTTTTTAGTGTATAGTATTATTCTACTCTTATCAATAAGTCTATCTTGTAAATGGGGCTACGAACATTATGATGAAGATTTAAAATTAGTATTAAGAGAAAATTTAGAAGAATTTTTACACAAGTGTAAAACCAGAATAGTCACAGGGTTAGTTGTCATCATTTTTCTATCTTGAAAATCATATGCGAATTAAAAACTTATAATTAGTGGGTTCAAGATTAGCGTGATTTTATATTCTATATATATATATATATATTTTTTAATTTTTTCTTGTGTATGTATATACAATTCAAGTCATAAGTAATTGGTTCCGTTGACCATGCAAAACCTCCCCTAAATTCATATAGAAAATCTATTAGATAAGTATTTTACGTTAAAAAAGACAGCCCGGTGCACGAAGTATTTTATGTTTATGTAGGTTCCGAAAAAGCAAAAGTGGATCCAATATTTGTAGTTTATGGGTTCCTACATCAATCACAAGTTAATAACTAGGTTTACTCTCAAATATTTATAATTATTTAATGAATTTTTTAATGCATATACAAGGTATGGGCAAAAGCTACTGGGTTCACAGGAACCCGCATCATTGCCTATAGATCTGCCACTGCAGGGAATGGAGGCACCACAATGAGGTGTAATCTAGACAGTTTACCCTAATACAAATATCGGTGACTAATTTCACGTATGGCTCGAATTCGGGCATATAAATCACACAGAAACAACTATGCTGTTCCAAAACTCCCCTCAAGTATTCTACATTATAAACTTTGAATTCCCTGCGTATTTAGAAGAAAACACCACATGGGTTCATCATCAAGATTGTAAACACATCATAGCCAAAATGTCAATGGCTCTTTTATTCAAAAGGAAACATGAAAAGGAGAGATGAAGTGAACTGTTCAGGAAATGGCTAGCTGACTTTCCAGGTGTCCAATTGCACACATCATTTTTGCTTTCTAGCCATGGAAAAACATTCATATTTTGCTAATCATGTACTATTTGATTTTAATCACTATAAATTACTCATCATTAATCATTACTAATTATTCATGTACTAATTTATTGCGCTTTCACGATCATAAATCTTAGTTTGTGGATGCCATTTTTTCTACAATTGAGATATAACTGATGCTGCATTTAAATTAATATATAATAATTAAATATTTATAAATATTTAGTGATTTTCTTAATATATATATATATATATATATAATAGAACGAACTCGCAAACTTGGAATTTTTTTAATTAGTTTCTCATCTTTGCCATTTCTCATCAGCCGCTCTAAATAACAACTTTAGAATAAATAAAAT